CTGGTGGAGCTTGTGAATGAATTTCCCCCCCAACTACCTGGCCCCACCCCCAGGCATCCTCAACCAATGACTGGTGGAGCTTGTGAATGAATTCCCCCCCCAACTACCTGGCCCCGCCCCCAGGCAGCCCTCAACCAATGACTGGTGGAACTTGTGAATGAATCCCCAGCTCCCTGGCCCCGCCCCCAGGCAGTCCTCAACCAATGACTGGTGGAGCTTGTGAATGCCCCTTTCTGGCCCCGCCCCCAAATGGGAGGCCTTTCAGATGCCTGCTGGGCATTTTCCCCCACGGTGGTTCCCGGGCGGGACTGAGGTCTGGGCGGTCCTGGGGGCCACCCTTCCCCTCCCCAGGGCTGGAGCTGCTTCCTGGGGCCTCATGATAGAATGCATGCCCCAGCCCTCTCCTGGAGAGCTCCACGACCCTCGTGGAGGAGAGGTAAGACTCCACCCGAGGCCAGGTGTGCAGCGGGCGGGGAGGGAAGGGCAGGGCACGGTTCCCGTCACTCACGGTCTCGAACTTCTTGTCCGGATAGAGGCAGGTCTCCCCTCCCGCCGTGAAGTTGCAGAAAACGCGGAACGCGTCCCGCGCGCAGCCCTGATTGGGGTCAATCCAGTACTCCCCTGCGGCAGAGCCCGGGAGTGAGCCCCGAAGGTGAGCCCAGACGCCCCTGCCGCCCCCTCGGCCGCCCCGGACGCTCACCGTCGGGCAGGTGCGGGTGCTGGCGGTGGAGCTCGTGGCACATCAGGCCTGGGCGCTCGGCCGTGCCCGGCGGGCGCTGCAGCTGCGCCACCTCCAGGCTCAGGGAGTTGAGCGAAGCCAGCACCTCCTCCAGGCCGCTCTCGGGGAAGCCCAGGGCAGCACGGCGAAGACGCCTGAGCGGCTCCGCAGGGGGACCCTGCACCAAGGCAGAGATGAGGGGAGACGGAGAGGGAGCAAGGCAGAGGAGGGGGAGACACGCGTGAGAAGACAAGAAAAGGTGTGAAGACCCAGGTAGGTCAAAGCCTCTGTAAATATCACCCCCAAATTGCCACACATACCCCTTGTCACCCCCCAGACCCTCCTGGGAGCTTTCCTCCCCAACTGTACCCCTGTACATCTGGCTGAGCTGTAGGGTACCGAATGAAGACATCCCAAATCTCTGCTTTAGAAACTTACTGGAGGTCCAGGAGGACCTGCGGGCCCAGTGTCTCCGCGGGGACCAGAGGAACCCTGGAGGGAGAAAAAAAACACATCACATTGTGATGAACTCTTGTTTGTGAAGAGCATTTCCCTGCCAGCACACACACACACACACACACACACACACACACACACACACACCCCTCCAGGAAGGACTTAAGAGGTTCAGTACTGGGCACAAGATGCTTATTTTCAAGGAGGTGCTGGTCTCTCACACCTGTAATCCCAGATACTCAGGAGGCTGAGATCTGTGAATCATGATTCAGGGCCAGCCAGGGTAGAAAAGCCCAGGAGACTCTGATCTCCAATGAAGTACCAAAATGCCAGAAGATCCTTGAGCAAAAAAAAGCTAAGGACCAGGGGGCTGGGAAGGTGGCTCAGTGGTAGAGCGCTTGCCTCGCATGCATGAGGCCCTGGGTTCAATTCCTCAGCACCCCATAAGCAGAAAAAGCCAGAAGTGGTGCTGTGGCTCAAGTGGTAGAGCACTAGCCTTGAGCTGAAGAGCTGAGGGACAGTGCCTAGGCCCAGAGT